TTTCTTCCGTCAAATCTAAATTGAAGATCCAATGGCTTGAAACGCTTCAATCTTATTGTAGTCATTCCGTTGTACATAAGGATTCACATGTGAATCAATCCTGTGCTTTTTTTGGACAAGACTTTGGTAACCTCTTCCACTGCTTTTATTCCTAAGTCTTGGTGCAGTCTCCTATTGTCGGCTGTAACAAAATAAATGTATAAAAGAGTAAACAGGCAAGTTGATATGACAATAAATTTGTACTTGAGGACACACAGACTTATAGTGTTTCAAATTGATTTAAAAATATATATACAAAAAAAATGAAGACGCATCTATAAATAAGTCGATTTTTTTATTCGGCTTGCAATCTGAAAAATAAGGTATTTTGAAATAAACGTGTATATCACCGTGAATAATATGCAGACGATTGATTCTTGCACTGCAAGCTGAATTTTAAATTGGTGTAATGAACGCGTATCGAAGTAACGGTAATTTGCGGAGGTTCCCCATCGATTGGTAGGATGAAATGCGCTATGGACCAAAAGGGCCTTCGTATCTGGACTGCATTCGAGTCTGGTAGCGAAAATATTTTTCTAAGCTTCCAATAATAATCATCCTCGCGTGTGGTGGATATATTGATTTTGGGTGCCTTGGGAGCCATCTTTGTGGCATGTATCCGCCACTGTCAATGTTGAGATATTTTAAACATAAACATTGCGCTATTTATGATTACGATGTATGTATGTGGGAGAGTGAGTGTTTGGGGATCGGTGGTGCCTGTTCCAGCAGCATCAACTCTGCCGATTCATAAATATTGCATTTGCATTTCAAAATACCAGAAGAAGGTCAAGATGTATCTGCACACTATAACAGGCAATACCATGCATCTTCAAATATCGAATTTCTGTTGAGGGAAATGTATGGCATTAACAACACCATTTGTTATACTGTTTGAGCTATAAACTAGGAACTAAACCATTGTATACGCTCGCTATATTCAACGCATTTTTCCTGTATACGTGGCACTTTACACTTTGTAATATATTAGTAATGAATTGATTTCAAACAATCTAACATTCAGATTTTTTTTTAAATAAATTATACCAATAAATATACACATTTTTGTTACACATTATTAGTTAAAATATAAAATTTCTAAAATATTATTTGCAACAAAATAATATTGTTGTTACAAATATTTATTTGCAATTACAACGAATGCTTCGCATAATCCGGGTAATCGTTTGTAACCGAACTAATTAATGAATCAAAAACCGCACAAAACAAGACTTGACTGTATAAATGAAAGAAAAAACTAATCATTTAAGAGCCAATAAATATTGTGAAATAAATAAATTATTTTTTTATAAAAAAATATTTTTTATACTAATTTTTTAGAATTTATTTTTGTTTTTCTGAATTATATTTTTTTTTAAATTTACAAACCGGGCTATAATGAATATGAACTGATCGAAGTCGTACTATACAATATTTCAAATAAATTATTTTTTATATTTTATTACACTTCTATTTTTAAACGTCCATTGACTAATAATTATGACTCATCTAATAGGAACCAATTAGAATTTAGAATCTTAACAAAATAAAACTAAATATCTTATTTAGAAAAAATGAATTGTATATACACTGAATGGTGTGATATAATTTAAGATAGAATTATGAGAATCGTTTTATTTTTCTAGACGTTTTGACATTTCCGTTAAGTGCGTCGGAAATAATTTAATAAATATTGGCTGAAATCGTACACCTTCGCATTTTCTCGTGTAGAGTTGTTGAAGAAAAAAAAATATGAAATATGATAGAATTCGAGTCGATTTTTTTTCCTTTCCCTTCTTCTCACATCATTACAGTTTGAAAAGTTTCACCAATCTCGGGTAAAATTTATACAGTGGCGGAAGGGCGCTGTCACACCATTTTGCGGATTGAGGGGTGGATCCTCGCCCGGGGAACGGAGTAAATGTAGTGTGAATTTTTTTTGGACAGATTTTACTGCACTTTGATAATTTGGGCACTTAAAAATTCGCGCACGCATCTTCCAACCATCCCCGCAGGAGTGGAAATATCACCCCGGTATATAAATCTGCATCTTATTTTCAGCGCGGTTCCGAGGATCGATTTCGCCTCTAGGAGGAGCCACCAATGTGACAAATCGTCGCTGTCGATTGTTAACTACGGCGGTTTTTCATACTGTCGTTACGATATAAAACGTTGTTCTATCTTCCTGTCCGATCCGATGATTTGGAAAATTTCATTGATTGAGAAATGTGTATTTCCTTTCTCCACGATATCCAAGAAGATGAAGGAGAAGAGCAGAAAAAAAAAAGAATCCAGTCGATTGTTGTCTCTGGACGTGGAGCTTTTATACATTAGTCGTGAATAATGGATGTGGGAATCAACATATAAAAAGTTGGCACATTGAATAATGTACTACTTTTCAAGTAGAAAAAGTAAAACAAAAAACTCTCAACAAGTTCGATGAAATCGAAGAATCTACTCATTCAATTCAATAAAATTGTTGATGTGATGAAATAAAATTTAATGTGTTTCAGCTTGAGAGCAATTAATTTAAAACAAATATACGCTGTCTGCTCATGTGTTTGGGGAGCGTATGTGAATATGCGTGGAAAGTCTTGCATGAATTCCAATTAGGCCAGAAGATCAAAGTGTAGTAGTTTAAATTAAAGTGTTGCAAACCTCAAAAAGATTATTTCGCTGTTTGCTGCTTTGCATACCGTCCGAAAGGGCGCTTTGTAGCGGTCTTTATAGAATTTCACACTCCAAACTGTCAACATTTAACGTTCATTTGTCTGAAAGAAAAATGCGCACAAACAGCATTGTGAATCTATTTGCAAATACATTGCAGAAATTGTGCCCCGTTTGTAAACCAAAACGGCACACACAAACAATCCAATTTCAACATTAATTTAATATAAACTTGCTTCTCTATACATATCTATTTAATTATTTAGTACAATTAATCTATCATTATTCTATTATAACAAATATTACCTATGAGATTACAGGTTATTTTATAAAATACTGCAGTATTTAAATTATAAAAGAGTTTCCTTATTTGATACATAAATAATATATTACCATGAAAAGAAGTGAAATAAAAAGTTAAACTCTTGCTTTGGTATTTTATATACGAAAATTTCACATTTATTTTTTATTACTTCCTCAAAAATTATATTAATTAGTTACTAAGTACATAAACTTCTCTAATTCCTTAATGACATTTTACAGAATAACTAGGTAATAACTACTTATAACTTATTTACTTAGAGTAATTTAATTAGTATTGAGTTGTGTCTCATGATCCAAAATGTTTTATATAATACATTTTTTCTAAAAAATGTTTCTTATATATACGTACCCCAATTTGAAAGACTTCTGTCGATGTAAACAAAACATCCAACATCAATTTCCTCTCAAATTTATATTTTTTTTTAAATAGAAATATTTATAAGTAAAGTCTTAGTATTTTGTGGAAGTTTTTATTTAAATTTATTTTGTCTTATTTTTCTATAGGATTAGCTATTTGCATGTATTTAATGACGTAATTCCATAAGTCATATAGTGTCAAGTTTAATAATTTCCTCTGTTCCTTCCCAAATATTTGCTATAAACGATATTTTCAAATACTGAGCGCTAATTTATGAAGATTTTTTTGTGGTAGGAATTAGCTATTCTTTATATGATTCAATCAATTTAAAATAATGTAGGACAAAGAAAAGAAGTAAATTCGGTAAATGTTCGTATATTTGTTTTGCATTTAAGATCTTTCCAGCTTTGAAAATATAGATAATAAAACAACATTGCGTTTATAATATTTTTATCTCATTATAAAGAATATTTTTAGAAAAAAAATGTATGAGCTTCGATTGTGCCTTTCAAACTCATACTTCATTTGCTCTTTGCTTGTTGTAGCACTCCAATTAAATTTATCATTGTTGTGTACACGTCTGCAAGAATTATGTATTATAAATACTTATTGTCCCTCTGTAACAGTTAAATATTTTTAAATTATTCTGATTTTATAATTTTTTTTATATATTTATATATACTTATAATATTTTTGGTATGCACTATTGACAGAAAATTATTAAATTATATCCAAATTACGGTAAGTACGAATAAGGATAAAATGAACTTAATAAACATATTAAGGTGACTATATCAGAAATTAATATTACTATTTATTAAGAGTAACTTTATACTTTGATACTAAAATTAGAAATAAATAAGTAGGAAATATAATAATTCAATTAAAATGTAAATGCAATAAAGTCTTTTAGCTGACAGAACTGAAACCAATACAATATAAAAAATAGTACTAGTGTTCTATTTTTTCTGTTAAAATAAATGCTATTGTTTTTACTATAGTATATAAAAAGTAACAAAACAATGAAAAATAAATTTATATCAAACGTACTAACTACTATGTTTGTAGTATACAAATATAGCTGTCAATTCAGCTTTGATTTAAATTTTTATCACTATAAGCGCTTGATTAAAAAATCTTGTAAAGAATTAAATATATTTCAACACTAAACCGACCGATACTTTATGTATACCTATTAATACCGTGAGCGGTCAAATTACTTCTTCAAAAAAAACATATATCTTAATATTGATTGAGATTTTAGCCAATTTTCTTTTATTTTCAAACATGCATGCATAATATCATTTTTTAGAAATTACACTATTTTACAGTAACGTTGTATGTAGGAAATTCTAAATGAAATTTCAAAAACGGTCATTAGACCCCGCGTGGTAGATTAGTGTTAATTAGGAAGTATTTAAGAATAAATAAAAAATAATTTATGGATAGGTAAATATTGAAATGATACATAAATTTACGTAAAAAAAACTTTTATTTAAATATTTCGATTTGGGGTCAATGAGAGAGAATCGGATCTCATAAATCTTCTGAGACAATTTATGTTCCATCCCCAACTGGAACAAAAGCAATATCTAGATCTATTCAATATCACTTATTGATATTGATAGACTATCTTCGGTTGCTGTTGCTGCTGTTGCGGCTGCTGTTGGAGATGTTGTTGCTGCTGCAGGATATGTTGCTGCTGTTGCTGCTGCAAGATCGGCTGCTGCTGTGGCTGGTATCGTTGCACCGGAACATCCTGAAATCAATCAACATTAAAGTGTCAATGCTTCGAGTCGCTGCTTTTCTATAAGTCTCGTACTTGAATGTAATGCTGCTGGGGTTGCTGAGCTTCTTGTACCCTTGGTTTCGGAACTTTAACGACGATATCGGTTGGCTCTCTGACGACCTGACAGACAGATTCAAGTTAATTACGCAACCAACGCGGAACATCAGACTTTATTAAATATTTATTGCGGCTTAAAGTTTGAAAAGTAGAGCTATTTTACCTCAGCTTTGAAACCGTCCTTTGGGTCGGCCGTGTAAGTTACGGTCCTGATGTAACCATCCGAATCCACGACTGAATAACTTCCGGATATCTTGCCGCCTTCCCTTTGCTCCTTGCGGTTCTGATAGTTCGTGTAGAGGTCGTCCTTCACGTCGAAACCGAACTGGTACGACGAATCGTTCTGCGAAATGGAATATTACACATTAATGAACGCCGCTGGTCATATTTCCTTTTCATTATTTCGATTTTAATTAATAAATACATTTGAATTAAAATTTAATTAAAACTAGATTATTGTTTCGAAATATCGCATGTTAATTAATCTAAATTTAAACAAAATAAATACATACATGCATTTGCTAATGAACATTTGCTGTATGAGATAAATAATATATATATTTATTTATAATGATGCATTCAAAATGGAAATGTAAAAAACATTGTATAATAATTTTCAAAGTTTGAATATAATTTAAACCATCATTATCTATACATTTCATTATTTACATGTGAAAATTGTACTTTAACTAAAACGCATTATTTAACATATTTTTTTGCGTTTTAATATAGATTTATTACTTTAAGAAATGATCAATGTTTCATTAGAAATGATTCTGGACGCATATTAGCAGTGTCACATTTGTAATTTGCTGAACTAAATTGTAGTTTCTTTTAAAACTTTCAATACCTACTATAGTAAATCCGCACTATACAAGGTATTGTAAATATTTTTACATTGATAAATTAATTATGTATGAAACAGAAAATAATGAATGGTAATACGATTATAGACTTTTATAATGTCGGTTTTCTAAATTAATAATTCTAATCAAATCTAAAGATGTGAAATTTCATTAATTTCTACAAACGAATAAACGTTTTCTCTGTATAAGAATATTTATTATATAATACTAGGAATAATCGTATGCAAACCACATGCATTATTGCAACAACTTATTGACAGTAGGTATTTCCGCCCAAATGATTAAATCTTATTACGTAACTAAGAAAAATTGGAAACCAGGACTTTCCAATAATAATGTAATGTTGAATATTGTGTTATTATTGTTTTTGATGATATAACCATTACGGAATGTTTATAGATAAATTAAAGCTTATTTATTTTTTTTAACTTAATATTTGGTATATATTTAAGTATGGATTTTTTTTATATAAAATTATTAATTGAATAATTATTATAAATATTGATAAAAAAAAAGACTTCAGTCGATAATACTATGTGTAGAAAATAGCATATGTGTAATAAAATATATTTATTTATAAATCTTATAAAGAAACTGTATACTTAGTAGATTCATCATTACCTTACCTTAATATATTAAGGTTGTGTTAAAAAAAGATTGTTTTAGGTGTGTTATATAGAAGTGTTTTGGGTTAAACCATCAGTTTGTATTTATTATCATACTGTAGTTAGAATCTACAAAAGATTAAAATAACTGTATGTAGTTCACGTGGTTTGAGGAAAATTAATCCAGGAAATATTCGGTTTTTAGATTGTTGTGTTTACGGATACGGCGAATATATAATAATTTTATGATCCAATTATGGAGCGACCGGTGCTGTAAAACTGCTCACACCACACCATTCGCTTTAAAGCAAATACAATTTTTACGTTTTCGGTCAGCACGGGTGACACCAGAAACGACGACAAAAGCCATTGTTATTACGCGCCAATGAATATTTAAAGTCGATTTTTATTCGGGCAATAGAGCTTTATGTCCTTTTGGGCAACGGAGGCCGGCCCTAATTTAAGTGCCAAAAGTTTGTTTTTTTCTCGTTTTTGTTGAAAAATCTAGCCCATGAAACTAAGTCATTATTGGTTTCGGTGCGAAAATTTAATTCCCCAATTAAAGTTTTACGACTGTTCGATGGTGATAATATTCCTCTTCGATCGTGTACTTTTTTTTTGTCTTCTCCATGACCTTCCTTTTCCGTCCTTTTGTTCTGTTTCTTACGTTTTGTTGTTCGATTAATCCCAATGGGAATTTCAGCGACGACCATTATAATCAATCACATTTTTGGCAACTGCTGCGAGAGTTTGCACAGCAGGAAGAGAAATGATTCTCTCTCCTTTTTTTCCTGTGTGTGGTGACTTTTTGGGGTTCGCGTTAATTAGATTGCAGCCAGTGGTTAGGGAATTTAATAGTCCGATGATTGGAAAATAGGTTTTGCCATAAATACCGTTTTGCAGATGCAAATGCGGAACGTGTAATATTCATAATAATCCAATTTTCACTTGAATGCATCCAGGGTTTTGTGGCTACGCGAATGCAATGTGTGTCTGTATGCGTGCAAACCCGTCGACGTACTTTCTCTCTAATAAAATTTTCGAATCGTTTCGGATTTATGTAATCTATATATTTTGCATGCTAATGGCCTGGATTTACATTTAAATCGGACCCGGAATTATTTCGATCTGCCACAAGGTATCCATTAAACTTTATGCACTCAACATTTGCAATTAGAAAGAATCTCTTAACCGCGCGTTTACGTAATATAGATCGGATAGATGAGATAAGATTGCTACATAGTATAACCAGGGGCGGCTCGTATATAGGAGCCTGGTATCTAAGAATGTCTTATCCATTAGGCAAACTACACACAACGCCTAGGATCCACAAACGACAATATTGGGGATCCATGAAAAATATTGGAATTAGAATTCGTTACTATTTGCTGATCTACGATAAAATCCTGTCATCATTTTCTTAAGTAATGCCTAGAGCCCATGACAATATTAATGTGGCCCTGCAGGTATCTACAGTATTTTATAATTAGCCCAATAATTGTAGTTTTCAAAGATATACTTTTTTTTAAAGAACTATAGAAGCAGAAAACAAAGTTTGTTTGTAAGATAATTGATTTTTTCTACGGCTTTCCAGGACGTATCTACCTAAGTATATTTCCAACACATATTTTATTTATTAAAAAATACTATAACATTTTGTAGAAATATTATATAATGCAATTTAATACAAGGTCTGAGGCACCCAGCTTCCCCTGTTTCTATTGTTACCAGGCGCCACTGAGTATAAATTTAATTGAATTTAATGTCAATACAATAAATGTGATAAAAATTAAAAATAAATTAATAATAAACAAATTTATATCATAACAAGGAAATAGAAAGTGCATTGTAATTTAAATAATCAATGGCAATATCACATAATAATATTTATTTCAACAACCATAGTACAACCTTAGCAAAATAACATAAGAAAAATAGAACTAAATTAAATTGTTGCAAAGGGCTACTGACCATAGGTGCCAAATGTCACATTAATTCGAATTATGAAATAGTTTACTATTATATATAGATATGTTAAATTCGTTAAATGACATATATCAGTTTTTAATTTGTTCGATAACTTATGCATGCATCTTTTATATATAATTTTATGGTTGTTATAATAAATGTTGATACTCTAACGATACGAAAGTTAAAAATTTAAATCTTAGTAAATATGAATATATTCTATTCTTTAATAAATAAATCATTACCAACTAATTTATTGAATATATATTAGGATTAGGTCTATTATATAATTTGTCATTTATTTTGATTAAAAAGAATAAATATTTTATATTTTTTTTTTTAATTTATTGAATCAATAATTTTATATTTTTAAGGCCTATAAAACACAATATAAGTAATTAAATATTTCATGAATTAAAATATACTCGTTAATTTTTGTTTTGTTTTAATAAACAATATATTGACTTTTTTGAGTGTCTTACAATAAAAATCTTGTTTAGAACTTTATAAGTAATTAATATCGTAGACACCAGACCTACCCTTTAGCATCTTTTACATAATCTAACATGAAAATATAAAATATAAAATCTTAAATCATAATTATAATATTTTTCATGGTACCTCAAAATGCCGTGGGCTTAGGCACTGTACTTAATAGGTAAGATAGCCCTGGAAATATAGTATAATTAACTACAACTACTTTTACATACAAATATAATAATAGTTATTTTTATTTAGAAATATAATTTGTGATTAACATATTATATATTGTTTTTACTTATAATATAAATATTTCTTACATAGATCTTTAGAAAATTGAACAATTTTCATACCTTTTAAATCTATTAAATAATATTTAGAAATAATACATAATATCAATTTTTGTATAAATTGAATAAATTCCAAAACAGTGCTGATTTATATTGTTTAATTATAGTTACCAAATCAGTAATTTGTTTAATTTAGCAGAGAGTCCAAAATATATAGTATGCTATAACTGTACATAACTTCGAACATAATTGTTATATAAGATTAACGAGCTGCGAACGAGTGATCTGCATAATTGCAACAATTATATCTCCGCACCATCAAAACATGCAACGGAGTAAATGCACTTTCTTCGGACTTTCATATACAAGGAAGTTATTACATCAAATTGCAAGACTAAACGTATCGAAGCGAGAATCATTATCATTCGGAGTTGCAATTTGTAATTACTTCGTGTCCGTATAATAAATTAATGTAATTCAAGTGCACGAAACAAAGAGACAATAAGTTTTTCCTTTGTCTGCAAAGAAAGTACGTATTGGGAAACAAACTGCAATTTACTTTTCGTACGTGCTTTAGAAATATTGCAAAACACACTTTTATGACGTCTAGTCTTGCAATAGTTAATAATACAGTCGTACTTCGATTAAAGTATTTCCATTAAATTTCTTCATCAAATGAAACTTCGTTTTCAGAAATAAACATACTACGGTTAGAATGGAAATACATTCTTTATTAAAGAGTTGTTTTCGTTTGAACATATATTTTTTTAATTAAATAAGTTGTTGGTGCTTTTTTTTATCTTCTTTCTAAATTTGAATAATTTTCACTTAAAAACCATTTCACTGTCTTTTAGCACCTTTTAAAAGCTTTCTTAACATTTATTCGGGAAAATCTTTATTAATTTTAACTTTTTTATATTTTTTTATGTTATTTCCTTGTATAACATATAAAATATATATAATATTTTGTCAAATGATTGACGGTTTTTCTCTAAATTTAGAATATTTGAAGTTCTATGCTTGAAATTGCGATCTTTGTTTAGAAGCTTCCTTATCAAAGGTAACGTTAACCGAGAGATGATTATAGTTACAATTATTATTATGATTTTTGTGTGTGTGTTTTGTGTAGCTATTGTAAGAAGTCTATGGTGATAATTGATGTAAGATTCTAAATTAAAAATCTAACGCTTGTATAAAACTAATTTATTTTTATATTATAACCAGTTATTACATAATACTACAGTAATATTTACAATTATGAAGTTTATTCTTGTTATATCAATGTGTAAACATATATTTTCATATTTAT